CGCTGATGCCTCCGCACATCTTATTGGTCACAACTGCATCATGTCCTGGCTTAACCCAGTCGCTGGCAAGGGAGATGGGACGGCAGAGATCAGTTTACCCGTCCCCTAGTCAGGTGGCAAAGAGAGGAACACTTGCTGGGTCAGTGATAAAGCCTACGCTCACAGCAGAGTTCCTGAGCAAGGCAACGCCCCGCAGAGGTCATCCCCCAGGGATAAAGCAGCGTTTCACCCCTTGCAACCTTTTTCCTTTTTAAAAAAATCCTGTTTTCTAAAATGCATCTGTCTTCATTGTTTTTCTGATCATGTGATTAATGCTTATTGTAAAAGTTCAACTAAGTGCAAATCAACTGTACTTAATCCTCCTGACCCCACACCTTGATAATCACTATTAAAAGTTTGATCTATGGTCTTCCAGAACCTTTTCTTGGCATGTATGTCATTTTATATGTTTATATAATTTTTTAACCTAAAGAAATAGGAGCACACCATATAAGTCAAACATTATCATTTGTCTACACAACAAACACTTTCCATCATTTTTTCTGCTAACAACCCTAATATTATGATTAGTGTAAAAGAGTAGTTTTGACCCTTCAGGAATTAAAAATAGGTACAAATCCCCAGGTCCCACCCCCAGAAATACTGCGCCACAGACTGTTGGTTTGTTGTGGGCTCAGGCATCAAGGCTCTGCAGGAATTGCTAACAAGTAGCTCCCGCGGAGATCTGCTCTAACTCTTGGTAATGCCCCCTTCCCCGTGCCACTGACTGGCTTGAGGATGGGTCGCATGACCCAGCTCTTGCCGTGAGCAAGGAGGGGAAATCTGATGAGATCCTGGGGCAGTTTCCCACAGTCTCAAAGAGGGACGTGCTTAAGGCCTTTCCTGCCTCTGTACATGGCAGCAGCATCGTGTTTACAACGTGCTTTTCAACTTAGTTGTATTCTTTTATTTTGGTTTCTTTCTTTCTTTTTTTTTACTTCTATTGCAGTTGTACATTATTGCTCCTTGCGCCCAGCCCTGCATATGGTTGCTGAGGGAGATCATCCGTGGTGCGGAGGACTCGGAACTGATGAGGCAGCTGAGGGGCTCCAACTGGGAACCTAAAAAGTAGCTGCTTTCCACAGACTGGGGGTGCTGGGGAGGAGGAGGAGATACTAGAAGAGGGAAGGCCCAGCTCAGTGGAGGAAGGAGGGGTCCAGGGGCTGTGCCAGATATGGGGGGGGGCTGCAAGGATCAGCAGGTGGGGGAGGGAAAGGGTGAAACTGAACCTGGAGACCAGTGGAGATAGGGATTGGCCGCAGGGCAGTAGGATCCCCTCCACGACCTGGCATATTCCAGTTAATATCACTAATTGGGTCCTAAAATTTTCATTAAGATGGTCTTAATGAAAATGCCAAAAGGAAACCTATTTCCATTATATTAAATAGGAAAAATTATATACACATTAGCTCCAAACTCTAAACCAATTTCTTGAAATTTTACTAAAACTCGGTAAGGGGTGGGTGGGTGTGTGTGTGTGTGTGTGTGTGTGTGTGTGTGTGTGTGTGTTTAAAAACTGTCATGTTACAATGTAAGATGCTTAGCATTACTTCCCCATCATCAACAATTAAATTCGTTGGTAAATATTTGCTTAGTGTATGTAAAACAGCATCTCTTATTGCTAGCAAATCAAGCTGCACAACCCTTTATCACTCAGTTGATTTTTTATTGGACCTTTCTATTTGAGTCATCCAGTTGTATTTATTCGTACATGGTATATTTTTATCATTTGCCTTTAAGAAGGAAAAATGGAAACCACAGCTGTATCAGGATTGCGTTTGGAAGCATATGCCAGAAGATATAAGAAAAGAGACATAAACAATATAAGGCCTATATGTCTCACATAACAAGAAGTCCTGGGCATGCCTCCGCTTTCCTTCTTCCCTCTCTGCCAAAGACTTTTATCTTTGGGTTTTGTAGCCTCACAGTTGCATGACGTTTGCTGCACCTCTAGGCAACACATCAATATTCCAGGCAGGAAGGGGCAAAAAAGTCCAAAGGAGGCCAGAAAATGGGGTCTGTTCCTTCTATAAAAGCTTTCCTGGAAGTGTCACACTGTGACTCCCATGGCATTCATCAGCCAAACTGATGGGTACTAGACAGTCTGGATCACTCAACTGATTTGTCCACACTTCTACATGTAATCCTGATCTACCAATTTTATTTGGGATATAATGTGAAACTTCGTTCCCCAAGTAATATTGTTTAAACTATTCAACTGAGTTTTAGCTGTATAGATATAATTTAATATAAGCATTTGCCCCCAAAGCATTGCTATTGAGAAATACATATACAGTATCAAGTTTGGGTTTTATAAACTAACAGTCACTCTACTGGGAAAAGGTTAACCAGGGAAACATTCTACTGACTATGCCTGAATACTGTGGAGCTTTTGCCTTACATTCAGCCCTACCTCATCTTTGGCAACAGTTACACAGTAAATATGCCCTTTTGTGTGTCATAATTAATGTAAACTGTCCTCTATTGTTGGGCAGTTAGAATGTTCCCAGTTTTTCACAATTATAAACAAAGCTGCATTGAACATCTCTGTACAAACATCCTTACCCACTTGTCCAATTACTTCTTTGAGATGAATTAAATCCATGAAATGAAATTGTGGGGCTAACGGTTCTGAAAATTTAAAATGTTGATACCTATTGCCAAGTTGCCCTCCAGAAAGGTTGTACCAGCTCCACTACTTCTCCATTGCTGGAGCAATGAACATGCATCACCGAGGCATGCTGGCCCACCTAGATGGAGGAGAGGATGGATGGCTCTGTTAATGCAGCCTTTGGAAGCAGAGCGCTTCGTAATTCAGGTGCCAATTACATTTGGAAATGAGATTAGCACATGGAATCTTCCCATTCATCTCTCTCAGAGTTCCAAGGTTCCTGGGCAGATGAAACAATAAAACAAAACCAGTGAAATGAAGTCAATGTGGACTCAAGACATTTACCCTGATAAATGTGTCCATTTAGAACAGACTTTCTGGGCAGCTTGCTTAGCTCTGACTAGAATGAACATCAACACCACACTCAGCCTCCAGTTTTTTCTCATCAGTGACCCTCCCTAAAACATGCTGATTCCACCAGCCTCTTCATAAAAGCACGTCATGGCGCCCAACCCCAAGCAAGTCCTTGAGAATGATGCCCAATGTCCTAATAGAACAATCGCTGCTGTTCAGCATCAACACTAATATTAAAGTTATCATTTACATAATGGGGATTTATTGTTTCATGGGTACAGAGTTTCAGTTTGGGGTGACGAGAAAATTCTGAAGCTGGATGGTGGTGATGGTCACACAACAATGTGAATGTACTTAATGCGTCTGAATTGAACACTCAGGACTGATTAAAATGCTAAAATGTATGTTACATATATTTTACCACAATGAAAAGTATGTTAAAAAAATCACTGACTGCTGGTCTAGTTCAACCTGGAAGTTGTCGCTCTGTCCTAACAAGTAAGAAGCTGAGTAAACTGAAAAATCAACTCTTCTTAGATTTGTAAGAGTGAGGTCACAGGGCGAACTGCTGCTGCCACAATTAGAGAGACTGACAGGCGGACACAGAGAATCGCAGCTTACTGGGGCAGAAACCATCACGGGAACCAGTGCCAGGGTAGGAAAGTGTGAATTATAACTGATGAATTCCTGGAGGTTCAGTGTAAATAAGACTGAGAGATAAAAACTCCAGGGGAACCAGGACACGAGGAACCCCCACACTTTTGTAAGTTTTACCTCCAGGAGCTTGACCGGGTTCTCACAGTAAATACTGGAATTTCAGTGAATAGGGGAGAAAAATCTTTTCATGCTTCTGGTAGGGGAACAGGAAATACACCATATATTGAAGTACACCAAAGCACTCTGCTCTTAACAAGGCCTGCCCTCAGGAGAAATTATTTTACCTACTGGGGCTTTATCAGAGCCGAACTGACCTGGGGGAAAGGAAGTACATACCTAACTCCAGCCCTTGACAGCTACCCTGTCCCTCTAAGGGAGGGAAAAACTGAGAAGTGCTTGTGAAGTTCACAGCCCAGAGACACAGGATCACTAGAAGACTGAGACTTAATCAAAGGACAGAATGCCTCCCCTCCCCCTACACCTCACCACTGCATCACTAAAGGCCTATTCACCAGAGTTCCTTTTATAGAGTATGGCTTTCTACAAAAAATTACAAGGCATTCTAAAAGACAAAAACACAGTTTAAAGAAACAGAAAAAAGATCAGAACCAGACACTGATATAGCAGGGATGCTGAATTATCAGAATGGAAATTTAAAATGACTATGATTAATATGCTAAGGAGGGCTCTGATGGGAAAAGTAGACAGTATACAAAACAGATGGGTAATGGAAGCAGAGAGATGGAAATCCTAAGAATGAAAAAATAAATGTTGGAGCTTAAAACCCTTTAACAGAAATATAGTGGTCTTTGCCTCCCATGAAGACTCATAAAATGTGGAATTCTCCAAAGATAGCAAAGGGGTTCAAATGCAGGGTGGCCCCCAAATAATAATGTCTATTCCACTTAGCATGTAGATTAGGGCTGAACTGACGTACACACCTCACACCCTTCTGAGAGATGCCGGTGCTGAATCAGAGAGTCAGGGTATTGCCTTGACCTCAAATTCCCTTCACCAAGTTCACAATATTCAGAAGAGCCTCAATCAGTAAGCTGAACCCTACTGGGTAACCTAAAAACAGCCAAAAAGAATTTTAAAAATTGTCCTGTCTTCCACTTTTTTTTTTTTTTTAGCTCACTCTGTCTTCTGCTGAGCTTTGAAGTATAATTCAAAGGCCTAAGCTGATTTACTCCCAACTACCCACCAGTCCAGCTCTCAGTCCCATTAACAAGCACTTTATCCTGAGACTGGGCAAGCAGGTGCTACCAGAAAATTATCACTCAGCTCTCCAGCCAGGCTGTTGGGAGAAGAGGGGCTTTTGCACACAGAGGCAGCAGACACATCCCTCTAAAGGAGATGAGGAAGGTGTACACAGATCTGGGAGGTACCAAGGGACACCCAAGTGGAGGTTGAAGGTCAGAGTTTTTCTGAAAAACCCAATATTTCAGATGAGCCTGGAAAGAAGATTAGGAATGAACTCTACCAAAAAGGAAAAGGTGCTCCAGTCAAAGTAGCAGCATGAGCAGAGTCCCAGAGGTGTGAGAAAGCAGGACACATGCAGGAAACAAACCCAGGGAGAGAGCTGAGAAATCTAGTCAATACGAGGCTCCTGACTTCGTGCATCTCAGGCTCCCCTGGAGAACCTGACTTGAGCCCAGATGCACACGCACACAGAAACTGGCACCCACTGGCAGGGATGCAGGCATCCAGGTTAAGAATCCTTTACAGTACAGCTGGTGTGGCTCAGTGGTTGGGTTTTGACCCACGAAACAAGAGGTCACTGGTTCGATTCCCCATCGGGGCTCATGCCCAGGTTGCAGGCTCAATCCCCAGTACGGGGTGTGCAGGAGGCGGCCGACCAAAGAGGTTTCTCTCTCATCTGTGTTTCAATCTCTCTATCCCTCTCCCTTCCTCTCTAAAAAAATAAACATATAAGAAAAAAAAAAGAATCCTTTACATAGCCAACCCCTCATTCACAGATGCCCAAACAGGCCAGAAAAGGCCAGAGTGCAGTTGCGGCAAAGCGTTGCCTCTGCAGTATTTTCTTTGGTTTCTGCTCCAGACTGGAAACTTACCTCGAGCGACTAATAATCTTTGTTTCAAAGTGAGGCACGTACGAGTTGACTGTAAGCCTTGCCAGCATGGACTGGGGTTGACTGATGTGTTTCACTGTAGGGCAACTGACTTCCTGAGAAGCCCCAAATGTCATGGTTGCAGGTCTTTTCTCTGGGGCTGGTGGGTTTCTTCATAAAAGGAGGCTCCAGTCCACTGGGGGTGGGGACAATGTTGCTTAATGAGACTACATGTAAATATTCTGGAGTTCAATTAGGAATGGGCTGGGGTGTCATCATTTGGGGTGCAGCTTTTTAGGCCACCCGTGTCTAGTTCAGCCCCCCAAACTTTTCCTCTATGCTGGGATGTGATCACTAAATCTGGACTCTCTCTGGTTCAGATTCTCCAGAGACTAACCCTTTGGTGTCCTCTGAAAAGTGCCTGACTACATGGGGTTGAAGTTCCCCATGACAAAGACCTCAGTCAATCCCCCCATTTTAGCACCTTGTTTTACCTCCACCTGCTGAAATATCTGTTCTGCCCATTCCTGAGCCTTCTGGGATCCTGGGGTGAATTGGCTGTTCCTCAATATATGCCCCTCCTTAGGCAGGACCGTGGGCCCTCCTCCACTCTGCCAAATCATTTGTCATTCCCCAACCCAGTTCCCATCTTCATTTATTGTTTCAGGGTTAGAGAGCTCTCCTGGTTTCATCAAAGATGGAGAGAGGATGCTGCATGGTCTCCTTACTGTCTGGAGTGGATTTTCTGAGAATAGGATGGAAATAACACTCAGCCATCCTGGAGTATACTTACCACTACCGAACAGTACACTGAAAAGTGGTTAAGCTGGTAAATTTCACGGCATGTGTTTTTTACTGCAATTAAAAACAAAACAAAATTCAGCCATCTTAAAACCAGAAGTCACCCCATTGGAGTTTTCTGTGAATTTTGAAAAACAAACACAACAAGCCATTTCCTTGAAAATCTATTACATGTGGAAAGTGAATATTTTGACTTCTATACAATCTATTGAGACAGTTATTGAAAATATCTAGAGCAATGGTTCTCAAAGTGTGGTCTGCAGATCAGTAGCATCAGCATCACCTGGAAATTTGTTAGAAATACAAATTCTTGGGTTTTATCTTAGACGTACTAAACCAAAATTCTGCAATCTGTGTTTTAAGAAGCCCTCCACAACTAAATATTATCTGCTTTGTGGATGGTTGATACATAAAGTTTGAGAGTCACTCACCTAGAGCAATGTGGGGGGAAAGAATGAAATTAAATAAAAGTTGAACACCAAAGGATGGGTTTAAATTCATACATGGAGAAAAGATCGAGGAAATCGTGAAAGGGGGAGAGAAGGTAATTCATTGAGTGCCTACCATGTGTCAGGTACCACGCTTGCCAATTTACATAGTTATCTCATTTAATCCTCAGTTTCCTTGAAAAGAAAAAATTATTTCTCTCATTTTACAGATAGAAAACAGAGGCTTAGAAAAGGTAAGTAACTAAGCTATATAAGAAGAATTTCAACCAAGGCCTGCCTCACCCCTAGGTCCTCTTTATCTTCCATACTTCCCTCTTTTAGAATTAACCCCATTACTGGGAATATCACTGGCTGTGGAAGATGGAGAAAAGAAAAGGAGATTTCTCTCCTGCTTGGTAAGATCCTACTCATCTTCCAGAGCGGAACTCAGATGGCATCTTCTCTGGGAAGTTTTCTAGAACTTCTTGCTCAGAGTTAACCTTCCCATGGTGCTACGCACACACCCGTCTTGGAGTACCTCATATACCTCATTGCAGAAGTTTTCAAATCTTTGGTCCCAGGATCCCTTAGAAATTATTGACATTCATAGGCAAATGAACCTCGACCTAAACTTCACAAATTATACAAAAAATTAACTCAAAATGGATTAAGGATTAGATGTAAAAAATGTAACACTATAAAAATTTTAGGGGAAAGAAAAACATAGGAAAAAGTCTTCAGGTCCTGGGGCTGGGCAAAGAGACTTAGACTTGATACCAAAAGCATAATCCATAAAAGAAAAAACTGAGCCCAGCTAGGGTGGCTCAGTGGTTGAGTGTCAACCTATGAATCAGGAGGTCACAGTTCGATTCCCAGTCAGGACACATGCCTGGGTTGCTCGATCCCCAGTTGGGGGTCTGCAGGAGGCAGCCGACCAATGACTCTCATCATTGATGTTTCTCTCTCTCCCTTCCTCTCTCTGAAATCAATAAAGACATATTTTTTAAAATGATAACTTGAATCATTCAAAATGAAAACCTTTTGCTCTGAAAAAGGCCTATGAAGAGGAAAAAAAACACTGGGAGAAAATACTTGCAACCCACCTAGCTAACAAAGGACTGGTATCTAGAACACACGAAACAACTCTCAAAACTCAAGAGTGAAAACAAACAGTCCAATTAGAAAGTGGGCCAAAGACATGAACAGACATTGCACTAAAAAGGATAGACAGATGGCAAATAAGCATATGAAAATATTTCAATATCATTAGCCATCAGAAAATGCAAATTAAAATCACAACGAGATATCACTACAATTATTAGAATGTCTAAAAATAAAAAATCATAACACCAAATGCTGGTGAGGATACACAGATACCAGGCTACTCATCAGTCACTGGTAGGAAAGTAAAAAGGTACAGCCACTCAGGGAAAAGGTATGGAGACTCCTTATAAAATTAAAACCGTGCTTACCGCCCTAGTGGGTTTGGCTCAGTGGTTAAAGCATTGTCCTACGGATTGAAGGGTCTTGGGTTCGATTCTGGCGAGGGCATGTACCTCGGTTTCAGGTTGATCCCCAGCCCCGGTAGAGTGTGTGCAGGAGGCAGCCAATCGATGTGTCTCTCTCACATCGATGTTCCTCTCTCTCTCTCTCTCTCTCTCTCTCTGAAAAGCAATAGAAAAAAAATCCTCAGGTGAGGATTAAAAAAAAAAAAGCGCTTACCATACTACCAGCAATTGGACTTTGGAACATTTGAGGCAGAGAAGTGAAAATGTATGCCCACACAGAAACCTGTACATAAATGTTCACAGCAACTTTATTCATAATAGCCAGAAATCAGAACCAGTCCAAACGCCCTTCCACGGGAGAAAGATTAAGCAAAATGTGAGGCATCTATACCCTGGAACTCTCTTCAGCCACAGTAAGGAAAGCAGGATTTTCACGCGCACCCACTTGGATGGCTCTCAAGGGGAATTATACTGAGTGAAAAAAGCCAATCTCAAAAGGTTACATAATGTACTATTCCATTTATATAACATTCTCAAAGTGACAAAATTCTAGAGAGGGAGAACAGGGGTTAGGGAGGCGAGAGGGGAGGCAGCTGCGGCCACAGAAGGCTGCATGAGGTCCCTGTGATGAAACTGCTCTGTCATGACCTTGGTGGTAGTCACACAAATCTACACGAGTGATAAAATTTCATAGAATTGCACACACATGTGCACGTGTGCAAACACACACACACGTGCATGTAAAACTGGTGAAATCTGGATGAGATGCGTGAACCGTATCGCTGCCAATTCCCTGGTTGTGATATTGTACTAGTTATGCAAGATGTTACCACCGGGGAAAGCTGGGTGAAGGGTGTACAGGATTTCCCTGTATTATTTCCTACAACTGCCTGTGAACCTACGATGATCTCAAAATGAAAAGTTTAACAAAACTGTTGAGGACAGCAAAGAGGTTTTTGTTTGTGTTTAATATCAACCAGTATTTACTATATTAGAAATTAAAATAGAGACATTTTAAAAGTATTAACTTATCTTTAAAATGATAACCCATTATGTTAATATAAACAAAATATTTTATGAAAAATAAGTACATTTTCAAAAAAATAGTGAGTAGAGAGACTGTTTTACAAATTTAAAAATCTCTTTGTCTGGTTTCATAGACAACTGGATCTCAAATCTGCTGTACATTATAGCATGTCGTGCTATCACACAGCATGCTGCCTCTGGAAAATTCTACTGTACACACATGAAAACTGAGAGTGAAAGAGGCAAGTAATGTCTTAGTATTATTATGAAAATAACATGGATCCCCTCAAAGGGTCTCAGAGGCCCCCAGGCGTCCTGGGGCCATGCTTTGGAAACTCCTGCGTTGTCACGATCATTCGTCCACACTTCTGCTCCCGCACTTGGCGAGTGAGAGAGGACAGCACCTTTTTATCTGTGTGTTCCAAGAGCATGCACAGTGCCTGCCAGAAAGCTGATGCCCGCTAAATGTTTGATGAACCAGTGGGATATAAAGGCTTGTTAGCTGAGGGGGGTGGGGGGAGATTGCCAATCTGGTTGGCAGCGTATTGCTTTAGACTTTCAGTTCTGCACCAGAATAAAGGTCAGCGTGTTCTGGTATAGCTTGGTCCTATGGAACAAACATTGTTCTGAGAATCCGGGAGGCTCCTGGGCATGAAACATGAATCTGCGATGACTGAGTGGCCTTTTGAGAAAGGTCTCGCCATGTCACAATTCCTCACAAGTTTTGACCTTGAGGCCTCTCCAAGCCATCCAGACGAAGCCTGGGGAGAAAGGGGCTCAGTGGGCTGGGCAGTGACATACTAAATTCTCCTCTCCTGATTTATTATCCCTGTGCTCCTAGCTCCCTAGGTCATCCCCAAAGCACCCATTAGTGGTCAGTCTCAGCCCACTGGGTCCATAGCAGCTCTGGGAAGGGGAAAAACAGTTTCTTGCCACCATTCCAGATTACAAATTGGTTCTCGGTCCTCATCTGAGGTATTCATCAAAGCACAATTTAGCAGGGAGCACAGAAAAATGCACGGGCTCACCTCAAATTGCCATTGAAAAATGTTAGTATCAACTCTGTGTCAGACACTGAGCCAGGCCGCGGAGCATTCTCAGGAGCTCCCACGCGAAGTGGGGAAGCGATTCCACGCTGGCCACAGCAAGGACTCTGAAGTGAAAGGAGACCCTGGGGAGAGAAATCGCCCTCCTTGGATCAGGGGGAGGGGGTGCATTTGGCTTTGTCCTTAGGAGGAAGAAGAAGGCCATGCCAGGCAGGTGGAGGGGCAGCACACCAGGGGTTATTGTTAGGAACAAGTATAAAATGGAAGCTTATGTCTTTCTATTATCTCAGATTTGGGCACATGTCGCCATCATCCAAGTGTTTATTGAACCCCAATTACTGAGCCCCACCTCCAGAGTATCCGACTCTGTAGGTCTGCAGAGGGGCCCAAAAATGTGCACTGCCAACCCGTTCTCAGGTGATCCTGGAGCCTCAGAAAGTTTTAAAGAAAGAGTGAGATGACAAAGCCTGGGCTTCAGAAAGCAGATTCTGTTCAGATAGGGAACAAGTTGTCCTGAAGCTCCCCAGTGCACTGGGGCCTCCCAACTTCTTGACCCTTAATGTTCCTGAGAAATTTCAGTCAAGGAAAACAGGATGGCAAAGCCTGCAAGGCAGGACAGAGGTTACAGGACTCCAGTGTCCAGGGGTCACCACCCACTGCCTGGCACGGCTGATGGGGTCAGTGTCAACCTGGACCCACCAGCTCTTTGCTTCACGTGCAGAAGCCTGGTTGTGGTGGGTAAGTCCCCTTCCTCCCTGCGCCTGAGTTCCTCCGTCAATAATAATAATGGGGACCATTTGTCCCTCGGGGAGCCAAGGACTTTCAGATGGCAGAGATCAAAAAGTTGGACTCATGACTCACCTACATCATGGGTTGGAGAGAAAATTGGCACAACCCCTGGAAGGCAATCTGACAATCAAACGAGAAATGAAAATGCCCATACCCTTTGACCCAATGGTTCCATATCCAGGAACTGAGCCCACAGATACATTCATGTTTCTGTGCAATAGGCAGGTTATTCAATGCCTATTGTTTTTACTGGCAAGAAATGGGAAACCACCAGTTTAGAAATATCACCCACAGAGGGCTGGTTGCATCCCAGAAATAGAATAATGGGCAGTCCGTAAAAATAACAAGTTAGATCTATATGAGCCAGTTTAGAATAATGATAGATGGACAGACAGAATGTAAGACAGATACAGATCGATAAATGTATGTCTCTCTCTCATAT